CTCTCATTTCATTGTGAAATGGTTCTCAGATTGCATTTTCGTCATTTTATGGCTTCATTTTTGTCTCTCCTTCCCATCCACCATTGAATGTTAGACAAAAATGTATTGAACATCTAAACTAACCTGAGAGTGGAATTCTACATATGAGTAAGGCTCACTTAAATTATTATGTAAGCCAAATATTTACATACAATGCCTGGGAAATAAATTGTTGGTTCTGTATTTGCTGTGGCTACTCCGGCCTTATTGTACAATTTCTTGATAGCTCAAATACTGAAATCCCCCCTGCCCAGAATTTATCCATAGCAATTATGGTTAATACTTGAAACTATGAGATTATGTAATGACAGTGCTGCATAGTTTGTTTTTGAGGGGGGACTTAGGTAGAATGGAGGTAAATATCCAGGCAGGATAGAGAGGAGGCAGAAATGGACAACCATTTTATAGCTGCTGAATCTTACCTGAATTTAGTGCATCAGCATTTCTGTGGCATAGGCAAATAGTCCTTCTGTGCTAACTAAAGCTAACATAAACAACAGATTTGAATGGCTAATACTCCCTTTTCGTGTTTGCTTTTGCAGGTCAGTCTGATTCAAGTTGCTTCTTCCCTGGTTCTCTGTCTCTTTGCTGCCATATTTTAATCCTGCTCTTTCTGCGTTATTCTGTGCCTCCATGTCAAACCAAGAGCTGTTAAAAACTTTCTTGCCTTCTGCCCAGTGTGATGTTCATCCTTCTGCAGATCTCACAGCTGTGATGAGCATCACTGTCCAGACTGTTGGACCCAAATTAAATCTTGGGTACAGCAGATTTAGATGGCATGAGAGGATTTTGCTCTAGAGCAGTATTGATCTTACACCCCATTTGAACATAAAATGTCTGAGTAGCACTACTGTAAGGGGAATTTGAATAGCTCTAAGTAAAGATCAGTTTCACTTCACTGTAGAAAGTGAGAGAATTTCCCTGAATAAAGCTTTTCCTGTGTTGTCACTTTTACGTGGTCACCATCATCCAATTCTGTAAATTTCACACTGTTGGAGTTACTTTTCTGCTGGAGAAAATATGTTGAAGTTGTTAGGACCTGACCATAGAGGCAAGAACAGTGCAGGTGAGGTAAAGAGGATGTCTTGCCAGTGCAAGACAGTGGAGAACCTGGCCGTGGATTACATATGATTGCCTTGGGTTTATGTTGCCATTTTGTGCTTATTTCATTTTGCTCTGAGCTGTCGAAGTATTTAACAGATAGTGAAATTGTTAGATTTTCTTTGGTTTCCAGTATATACAGCAATACTGAAATTTGTCCAAAATCTCTCTGCCTCTCAGAATCTGTATTAGAGCCTCTAATGGAATCACGAAGTCCCACGCTCCTTTGTGTGTCCTCTGTAATCAGCATGCCGATCTGATTTCACTGCCTGCAAGCCTCTCTGGCTTTCTATATCTAGTTCCACTGGAACAACCACCTTGGGATGCATCTGGGTTCAATTCAGTGGTATTGTACAGTGATAAGGGATGCATGCAAGTTGATCAGAAAGTATGTGGCTAGTAAACACCAGATTCCACCTTTCCTGAATGATTAGCTTGCTTTTTGAAGTTCTAATGATTTTAATTTGGCTTGGAGTCAGTAAGTAAGCATATGCAAAGCCTTAGCCAAAGTACCTATTTATTTATTTAAATGTTATCAGCATATATTTCTTCAAAGAAGAATACCTATCGCTTTGTCTATGCCCTTTTTAATAAATGTATAGGTATCTGAATGTTTAACTACCAAGTCAGCCTGCTCACATTCCCTCCGTTGTGTTGTGGATGGTAGCAGATAGTAGAAACAGGTTTGGTTTTTTTCCCCCCGTTAATATGGTTTATAGAGTATTCGTGACGTGTAAGAATGATGTCTGTTCTATTTCATTCTTTTTTCCATTTCAGATTTTTAGAAAGTAGCGAGGGTTGTTTTTCCTATCTTTGTTCTGTCTGTTTTCAAAACATAAGTTGGTTTTTATTCCCCGAGAAAGGATATGAATAGCTTAAAGATTTATTTAAAATGTGTATAGAATTCTGGACACAAATCACCCTAATTATCTGTTCATCTTCTGGACTTCACTGTTTAAAACTTGTCAAGAAAGAATAAATTTCTACTTTTTCCCTCGCATGTTCTTTCTAGGAGAAGGACTGTCCATGTTTGTGGTTCTTTCTGATACTTGCAAAATTGCTGTTAGAATTTGAACACTACAGTAATGTAACAGAAAATAAAACCCTCCAGTTTATGTGGTACTTGTTACTAGAGGGGGAGACACTTTCAGTGGACATGCTTTTTGTCTTCTTTGTTAAGGAGTGTTTATGTAACCTAGAGCTATGCTGAAAAAAATCATTCAAGGAGCCAGAAATGTTCGGTGACGCGGCACTTCATGTTAATTATTGCATAGAACTGTATGTGGTAGTTCAGTTTATGGCACTGTTAAGGATTCTGACTTCAAACTCTTACTGTAGAACGTAAAATGTTGTGATTACAGTTAAATACTCAAATGCGACAGAACTAAGTATCCAATTTATAAAACTGAATGTCAGTACACCGTTATTGTTGGCTTGAGTTTTACATTCAAATACAACGTACTGAATGAAAGCAGAAGCTCAGAACTGGGCATCTTTCTGCGGGTGCTTGGTCCCTGATGCCCAACAACCTGGCACAGGTCCCAGCAGTGTAGTTTGCACGTCGTGCAGCCGAACGGATTCGTTCAGCTTCCTCTTGTGTTCTGTCATTAAAGGGGTCCTGCCCGCCTGGAGGTTCTGCTGAGCTCTTGGCCATTAAGATGCTTTGCTCTAAGGAGTTGCACAGGCAAATGGTACACTTGGAAGTTTCCTCACAGGACTTTGAATTTACCTCCAATCTTACGGGAGCTCCTTCTTTTGAACATAAGTTTGCAAACTGTTTTTGTTATTTTGATGTTGTCCTCATGGTACCTTTTATTTCTTTCTTGCCTGAAATGAACAATTCCGTCTTTTTAGATGTTTTTTTTTTTCCCTTACAACTTTGTACACCACAATTACAGCTTTGGTTATGAGTCCTTGAAGTCCCTCTGTTGTGGCAATATCTTCTTCAATTGTGTGTCTTGGGTAGTCAGTTTTTTTTATTTATACAGGGACAAAAACATTTTCTGAATTACTTTTTCTCACATAACTTTGGGGTTGTTTTTGTTTTTTCTTTTTTTTGAACTTCATTGCTCCTGCACATGGGTTGGAGTTCTGAACTCGTAAAGTGTTATCCAGCTCTCTTTCTTGAGTCAATACCATTAATTTGTAAGCCAGTTAAGTATTAGAGTGTATTGCTTTTGTCAATATTGACTTTTCCCTGCTATTGTATTTCTCTTAGGTTAGTTAATTACGTGTACCTGAATCTCCTCTAGTCTAGACTTACCTACATGTTTTTGTGTCATTTGCAGCTTTGTCAATTCTCTGATAACCTTCTGATGGCTGGCCCATACGTAGCTACCACAGACCACTCTGATAGCGACCAGTTCCTGCCCTTCCAGCTCCCCAAACAGCAGAAATGCATTGCTTATTTCCAATGTTTGTTTTCTGTGCAAATTCTTGAGGTTTTGTCCCCAGTTATTTCATTACACCAAACACATTCCTGGAAATCCATGTGGAAATCCATATAAAATGTTCTTTTCATTTCATTCTGACGCATTAAGTATTCTATCAGATATGTGAGGTACCTTTTCATTTTACTAAAATTGTGATAAACAAATTCTGCCTGTGATCTGTGTGTCTTCTAGTTGTGTTTTATTCAGTTTTGTCTAAATCGTTGTCCTGAAAACATATATATGCTGGTCTAAAAGTTCCTTGAAAGATGTTAAATAGAATCATAGAATCATAGAATCACCAAGGTTGGAAAAGACCTAAAAGATCACCCAGTCCAACCGTTCACCTATTCCCAACAGCTCCCACTAAACCATGTCCCTCAACACAACATCCAGCCTTTCCTTGAACACCCCCAGGCTCGGTGACTCCACCACCTCCCTGGGCAGTCCATTCCAGTGCCTGACCACCCTTTCTGAAAAGTAATACTTCCTCATGTCCAGCCTGAATCTCCCCTGCCGTAGCTTGAAGCCATTCCCCCTGGTCCTATCACTAATGACACGAGAGAAGAGGCCGACCCCCAGCTCACTACAACCTCCCTTCAGGAAGTTATAGAGAGCAATGAGGTCTCCCCTGAGCCTCCTCTTCTCCAGGCTGAAGTGTGTAAATGTAAATTTAAATGTAAGTGTACTATACGCTACCATGCAGTCCTGAAGTAGTCACTTGCATAAGAATATTTTCTTATAGGCTCAAGCAACCTATTCTTAATTTCTTCTGATTTTTTTGACTGTATGTATCCTATGTGCCTTGCTAACTTAATGCTTTTTTAATTTCTCCTTTCTATTTTTCCTTCTCCCCTCCTTTCCTTGTTGCCTATGTCGCTGGTGGCATCTCCTCTTTTTTATGTAGAAAGAATAGGTTCGAGGTAAGTATCTTTCTAATATGTAGTCGGCAGAAACTGATGCAAGAAATTGTTTATCTTTTCAGCAACACCCTCATTTTCTTTAATTACATCTTCACCTCCTCTAATCCAAAAGACCTACTTATTCTCCCTTACCCGTCTCGGTGGTTATTGCGTGGTTTATACCTACAGCTGTTTACTTCAGAGCCCATTTCAGGTCTCTTTGTTTCGTTCTTACACAATGAATCTTATAATCTGCTTTGTTGGCTTCACAAACATTGTATTTCCATATTCTGCATAACTTTGCATTGGATTCCTATAGGTGGAATGGCTGTAGGGCACTCTAAAATTGTACAACAGGTCTATAAACTAAAGAAGTGTTATGCTTGTTTGAAGAAGACATAATATTTCATTTTCAGAATGCAAAGTTCGTCTTAGCACTTGAAGTGGATACATTCCCCCTTTGCTAATGGATTTAAGATTTGTTTTTGAATTTCTTATGTTAATAATTTAATTTCTGCTGATTTAACAGGTTTTAGATGCAGGAAGACTAAAAGAATATGGTGAGCCTTACATTTTGCTGCAAGAAAAGGACGGCTTGTTTTACAAAATGGTGCAACAAGTGGGCAAGACAGAAGCAGCTTCTCTGATTGAAACAGCAAAACGGGTAATTTTATAATTATAATTCAGTTTGTCTCTGCACTAGGTTCATCACAAGTTAGCATATTCAAGGTTATAGTAGGCATTCTGCTAAACATCAGAATCTGTTGACTTAGGAAGGCTGAACCCTCATTTTCACTGATTTTTTTTAGTGCTTACACACAGGGTTCCAAATGATAGGTGTATTTATGTACCCCGAGTTGAAAGAGTGTGTTTCTTGCATCCTTGTGTACGTACTCACAGTGGTAAGTGTAAATAATATATGACATACGCACCTGTGCTGGGCAGGTGTCTTGCAAAAACTCTCTTTGAAAGCATACAAAGGCTGCAGACTCCAGCATTTACTTCTCCTGTATTTTCTAAAAGGCCCAACCAGTGTTAGTGTGAGGTTCAGTACTGGTTCATTAAATTATGATCACTGGGAGTGCGATCATAGTTTTATTTCTCTTACTTCGTTCTTTTACCTTTGCTTTGTTCTGCAGATAGGATGAATCGCGCTCAATTAAGAAACAGCTGTTGAATGTTTTGTTGCCTCCTTGTTCCATGCGAGGCTCTGTGCCTGATTTACTGCTTACTATTCAAATCCTACTCTTGAGTGTAGCATTATTAATGTAATTGGGAGCATTCCTCTGGCAATCAAAGTGTTTAAGAAACATCAATGGATTAATTTTCATAATATGCCTCTGAGGTGAGGCTATATCATCTCCACTTTTCAGATGGAAAGCTAAAGCTGAGATAAGAAGATAAAAAGAAATGACCTTTGATTAAGGAACTCATTTTGACTAGCTTTTGGCGTGCTTTCTCTTTTTTTGTGATAATTCAGCACACAGGACGTCCAAAGACAGGGTGTATTTTTCGTATTGCAAATGAAGTTTCAGCACTGCTGCAGCTGAGACTTGCAGTGCTTGGTCTGGGAGCAATTTGATTATCTTCACACAACTTTAAGTGTGCAAGTAAGGCACTGATATTAGGCATGTAGCATCCTAAGAGACTTTCCACACGAGAGAACAAGGTCTTATCTCTGTCCTCTATGCTTTCTTCTCCTCAAGTTGCTTGATGTGCGGATCGTAAGGGGGACACAAATTGCAAACTATTTCCTGGGGGGAAAGGAGAGCACTAGGCATGGAGCAACTGATAAAGACAGCAAACAAAGTGACAGGTGTCTGCCTGCTTCCTAGTAAGAATAGCCACATTTCTGGAAAGTTGGAAAAACAAACAATTGTGCAGTCAGGGACGCTGGGTGCTCATGTATTGCAGCTGTTTCGGTGGGCATTTTGAAGCATAGGGAAGAGCTTTCCATGTCTGTGCATTCTCAGGTTTGTTGTTGGTTGTTTTTTGTTATACCAACTAAACCTCTTTCGGGATTTTTTTTTAAAGAGTTTTTAACATGAAAACTTTGCACCATATAAACCCATGCGTGGCACTGATTGCCTGAACTGAGGAAATGGCTTTTGTCAGTTGCTGCAAAGTAGCTTCTCACATTTTATTACTAAATGTAGTGGTTTAGACATGTTTTTTGTTGGTTGTTGTTTTTTTTTCTTGCAACACGTGTATGAAGATCTGAAGATTATATAAATGATGTTTAAAAGAATCAGTTCTAATTGATGAGACCAGTGTTTGTCTGGCCAGGCTTCCTGGGACTTAATCCCTGGGATGGGTAGGGGTGGCTGTCTTGATATCACCAACAGAGATTCAGCCATGTCATGCTGTCTCTCCTTCCTTCCTTGCAGCCTTCCTCAGTTGCAAAATTGCATTAAAAGATAAATCAAAATGTATAAAAATAATTGCCTGATGTTACTTGCCCATATAGTTACCACATCAATGTTACGTGATTTTGTACAGGAAGGGAAGAGATCCAGGAACCGGTCTCTGCTGAAATGTGGTTTGATGAAAAAGTTTGCTAACTCCCAGGCTAGAAGGCAGATACAAGCTTTTGCATCTGCCAAGAATGCAAAGCACGGTGCTTATCCACACTCAGCCCAAAAAATGGGAATCGAGAGACTATATCTCCAGTCAGCAGCTACCCAGAAGCACAGTTACAGTTCTTTCTTTTTAAAGGACTTGGGCATTAATTCAAGGTTTTTGTTATTGCTGTCCCTTGTGTTTCATGCATGCTTTCAGAGAAGTTGCTTGGTAAGAAGAGCTGATTCTGGGGGCCGTTCATTTTGCACACGTGTGTCGGTTGCACGTATTGCTGCTGGTCTCATACCTTCTCTTGTGGTTACCAAGAACTGTTTTTATGAAGAATTGCTTTTTGCTGTTGTTGAAGAACAGCACACTGCACATAAAAGGAAATGGTAATATAGCATATACACGTACTTTTCAAAAGGTGTTACAGTGAGTTGCTAAGTGAAATGGTTTGGAATGTGGCCATGCTTTGACAATGATCGTTTGATTTATTGTGCTTTGGACCCAAATCTTGAGCAGAGCAAATTAGTACCAAGAGCTTTTCTTCCAGTAAGGTGAGATTTTCAATCAGTTTTCTGGAAGAGTATGGCTCTTGCGTATATTCCTTAGGTGTGAACAAAGAGGGATTACGGACCTTACATTGGAAGACTTAACTTGGGACATCTCTGAAAGAACCACGATTATCTGGGAATAAAAAGAAAAAAAAAGACACACATTGGTTATCTTAGCTAAGCATTGAAAGATTAAACTATTCAGGATCACCATGCCTGCTGAAAACTTAGTTCAAGCTTCTCAGTGGACCCAGGCTTGCTCCCTGTATGTCTCTTTTGGTCACCCCATATCCCGCATTTTTGTGCAAGTGTGAAAGAATGCAGTGCAGGCACAGCTCAGATGGAGGCTGCAGTTTGCGAGCCTGACTGCAGTGGAGTTGGCATCATTTGTCTTTGTTCAGTTTACAAGAAGCTTACTAGGAGAAAATCCCGTGGGAAGGTAAGAAATGAAATAGTTAGAAGAACTTTTTTTTTAAGTGTGTTCAGTGTTTTAGATTACAAAAAAAATAGATAGCCTCAGAGTGTTCTCCATGCTGTCGTCGGCGCTCAGAGAAGCTTTTCCACAAGAGTAGGACTATTCTTCTGTCAATCAGTTTTTGAGAACTTTGAGGGAAGAGTGAGGGTGATTTTATTTCAGAGCTATGACGGATGCGTAAATATTAAAAGAGGTGTTATCTCACCTCCACGATTACTCATCAGAGGGTTGCAGCTCTGTTGGCTGTAGAAGAAGCTTGTGTAAAGACTTGGGCATTTAGTATCTTGAGGGATTGGGCTCAGGGGAAGAATCACAATGAGACAGTTGAAAAGCAGCTGCCATTTCATTAGGTCTCTAGTAATGTGCCAAGGTTTTCTATTAACTTTGAAAAAAATTCACGCTCAGAAGCTCCATTTAAAAAGTATGCCAGAGTTTTGTGTTTCTAACCAGGAACAGGATGGGAGCGCAGCGCTGGGGCTGCAGGCTCTGCACTGTGTGTGTGGCTCCTGATTAACTCTGCTGCTGAATCCGATCGGGGCTGGTTATTGAGGAATGCCTCTTAGCAGCCTCCCAGTTGGTTCGATTAAAGCCTTAATATTCTCTGCAAAGAGATATTGTCTGAAGATATGTATATCCTGCGTTGGTGTGCGTACACAAAAGACGACAGTGGTACTTACAGGGATGTTTCCATAGAGCGACTATTCCCCTTTTATACCCCGTGTCTTATACATGCATTCATATATCCGAAAGGGACGTTATTATCAAACAAACCCAACTTTGCTGACAACACTCTGAAACGTAAATTGGAGAAATATTTCATAAGCTGTAGTCGGGGCAGTATTGACTATGAGACCTAACTCGTGACATGTGTCAGGTTCAGAGAGATAGTGCATTTTCTGTTTTTGAAGACTCAAACAAAACTTTTCACATTTTTCTTTGAAAAAAAATGCATTTGAAGTCCTTTTTCACCCAAACACATTTTTAGATAAGAGCACACAAGTCTTGACATTATTTCATTTTGTTATGCGCATCTGTCAAGGAACAGAGATATGATACAGCTACTAAAAACTGATGATTGTGGAACAGTGAAACTTGACAGCATTTCATTTCCTTTATGTTCTGATTATACATTTATCAGGAAACCTGTATCTCTTCTAGTTCAGCTAGAAATTGGTAGAATTCAAGAACTCAAAGGCTTGGCAAAGAACCGTCCTATTATTTGGTATCATCTTACATTTTAGAGAAGTTGCTTGGTTGAGTCATTGTTAAAGCTTTTGCTTCTTCTTTCATTATTGTGGTTTGCTATCCAGAGATCACATTTCTATAGGCCCTATAACTGCTCTGCAGCACAAATTAAACGCTGGGATATTTCATACATATACCTCGACGTTTCAATGGTTGTCAATCACAGTTTGTAAAATACAGGGATTACAACCTGATATTAACATCCAAATCCATTGTGTTCATTTTATGTGTGAAAATGAGAAACCCTTGTGCAGACGCAAGATTTCACAGCTTCTTTGTCATCCTGTTTTTAATTTATCTCCGTGTTTTGAGCTAGTAAAATGATTTTACTTATCAATTTAATGCGAAGTGATAATATATATCTGTTTATCTGAATCACCAGAATTTGAGCAGACCTACAGGTTGTGTGGGGTTTTTCTCAGACTTTGTTACAATCTAAGATCCTCGATAATTTTAGTAATTGTCCAGTGCCGTAGAATCACTGAGTGGCCTGTGTTGAAAAGGACCACAATGATCCTCCAGTTTCAACCCCCTGCTATGTGCAGGGTCACAACCAGCAGACCAGGCTGCCCAGAGCCACATCCAGCCTGGCCTTGAATGCCTTCAGGGATGGGGCACCCACAGCCTCCTTGGGCAACCTGAAATTCCTCTTTGGATTCTTCAGGGTCACGCATTTCTTTGTTCTCTGTGTACCTCTAGAATTGTATTTTAAACTAAAAGGCGTTTAATGTAAAATGACATATGGAATCTGATATTTTCCCTAGGTTTACTTCAGTAAGAATTACCCAGAAGTTGTTCAGAATGGTCAGCTTGCCACAGACTCCTCGCTGGATCCTTCCTCAGGATTATGTGTAACTGAAACTGCACTGTGATTCCTCATGACCACAGTTTTTTTCCACTGAATATAAACCTGAGAGCATCCAAACCATCGATGTTCACGAGTGTCAACGGGAGAGGAAAAAGAGGGGGCGATTCTTTGCACTGGACATCCTTTTATTTAATACTGAGGAGAAGAGTTTTACTATCCCTGTTTCTTTGATTTCAGTGCAATATTTTTTTTTCCTTTCCAACTAATTATTTTTGTATTGCTAAGGAAATTAGGCAGACTCAGTTCTTATTTGAAAGTTATGTGTCTGTTATTTAAACAGGTGCAGGACACCTAACAGGTCTAGGGTGCATCTTTGGAATTTATTAAAGAAAGATTGGAGTGTGTCCCTATTCTCAGTTGGAGATACTTTGAGAGCAAACAAAGCCAAATGTTTTTTTAGTGTCACTGTACCCCCACAGCTGTGCCTAAACAGCAGGTTTGGATATGTACAACTTAGCTTCTAACACAGGTGTTTCTCTACCTGTCACAGGTAGCTATGCAGATGGTAGAAAAAAAAAACAAAAAGAATTAAAAGCCAAAAACACTTTCTTTTTTGATAGCAAAAAGTACTATATACTTAGATTTTTTTTATAATTCAAGTAATGCTGTTCAAGATGAATGTAAATGTAAGTTTTATTTTGCTGAAATCCAGATGCTGAAAAATCAGTCTCAGTCTTCTCTACTTTAGAAGAGAACATTTGCACTGAAGAAATATTTAAATAATTTAACACACATTCCTCTTTTTATCCAGGTTATCAGAGAAAAAAAAAAAAGTATTAAAATAACTTGAGGAAATCTTTGAATGACATGTCATTATACCTAAATACCACGTAGTACAAAGTTATCTTCAACACACCACATTGAAATGTATACGTTATTTGCATTTATTGTGCCTTAATATTTGTGCCTTCAAGCCAAAGCTGTAACTGCAGGGTACACAACAAATTCATTAAATATATGTTAAAAATATTTAGCCTTAATATATTTAAAGTTTTGCATCAAGGATTCTGTTGAACTTGTGCTGTTTGAAGTTACCATACTGCTGGAATAGGTAGGGAAGTGCAACCCGTACGTTTGAATGGCTGTTGCTGGTACTGAGGAGATTGCAGTGAGATTCTGTATTTGTACACCATGTCCTGATTCAGCAAAGCACTTCAGTGTAAAGGCACTATTCTTGTGGTTTAAAAAGTCAGGCAAGTGCTCTTCTGCTGCAGAGCTTTTTTGTCTTCAGTGAGATACCTACCCTTTGAGGTCCAGTACAGAATAAATCTATTCCAATTATTGTCTGAAGGGACAGAAGGCACTGAAAAACAACAGGTCTCTTCAGGACACAGAGAACACTGTGCTTTTTAGAAAAAGAAAAATAGTAAAAAAAAGATGCTTGCTATTACCTTGGCAAGCTAAATATTGCTCACCCAATGTTCCCCCAACAGTCGAAAATTAAGGCGAACACAAATGTTTCTCATTTCAAGCCATTTTACCAGCAAGTAAGTTGCTGACATACAAGATTGTTGTTTGTATTGTTGTTGAGAAGCAATCTGAGGCCAAAGCCTGTGCCTGAAGACAGGGGCTCATCCAGGAGGGCTTTGTCCTGTGCAGAAGTTGGTGGTGAGAGGCAAAACCTTCTTTCCCTGCTGCCTGTGCCCCCACCAATTGGCTTCTCTGGTGGATGGGAGGAAAAGACAGGCGCTGGGTGTTGGATTTGCTGGCAGCATCCTCCTGTACTGTTAGCAGGAAGGTACGCAACGAAGCGCTCTTGCCCTTAGCTTTCTTTTGGCAGTCTCTAACACTTCTGTGGGGCGTCGCTCACTATTGCAAGTGTCTCTGAGATAAGTGGAACTGAACTTCACGTGGGTCTTGTCCTTTGTCTGGTGCTAAGTACAAGGCAGTCAGGGATGACTACGTGTCCCCTGGCACAGATTGGCTCATGTAAGCAGCAAGCTCATAGCTAATCCTTCTCAGAGCGCACCAGCCACAGCCTCTTTTCTGGATCGCTTTGCCCCCTATGTACCTAGCACACTAAACACTAACGTGTTTTGTTTTGTTTCTTTTCAATTCAAGTGGTCTCAAATAAGGATAGGGCTATTCTGCAGCTCAGCAGAATGTATTGCAGAGCTATGTGAAGATGTAGAGAAGTGTTTGAGGATGTAAAGTCACATGGGATAATGCTGGGGGATTGTATAGCATGGAGAAAGCTCAGCCTTGCATGGTCTTTCTTGTCTGTAACTGCCTTTTGGAAGTGGTCCATGGCATAAACCATGTCCAAGCTCTGCTCAGCCTTTATCATAGAGAGATCCAGCTGGAGTGCTCCAAAACAGAGCCAGAGTGAGCTGACTGTGACAGTGCAGACAGCTAACAGGGACTGGAGCTTGAGCTCATGCGTTTCCCTTTTTTATTCAGTAGTTTGGACAGATGCACAGGGTCTGCCCATGCTTTGCAATATTGAATTATTTTGATTTCTAAATAGTTCATACAAGAAAATAAGTGTGATGTATAATACGCTGAGACTTTTAAATGTTTAAATGAGAGAACGTGATGTTTTCATGGCTATATATTTTGTTTATATTTTTGTAAAACGGAATTCAAGGAGGTCGATAAACTGAGGGTATAATTATAGTTTTAGTTCATTTCAGCTCTGAAATGAAACTATGGTAAGTTGTATTTCAGTGCTGAGCTCCAAGATGCTGACTGCAGCCCACTCACTGGTATGAGACCCTGACAAATTCAGCTCTCAGTCTATAAGGCAGAGTTAATTTGATCCTGCAGATTTTTGAACGTGCACAAAAATGCTAGGTATCTGAAAATGCTGATCCTGCTTCTTCACAGGTTTTGACAGGACATTACTAGCTGTAGGTATAAAAAATCAAATATTTAAAGAATCACACTTGAAAACCGTACATTACTGAATAGATCAGCAGATAGTGAGCCATTTGTGCCTGTCGTTGCCATGATATCCACCTTTTTAGTTTAAAGTAACAAATATATTTCAGTCAGGAAGTTGTTTCTTACAGATTCTTTTGTTGCTTGTTGTTGAGAGTTGTTGTGAGTAGTTTAGGTGACTGTTGGTTAAGATGGACACACCTATTTAATTTTAGGTGGGTGACAAAGTGCATCGTGCCTGAAACTCGAGGATGAGAGAGGCCTTCCTTTGTTGAATGTTATGGTCTGTTGTATGTACAAATTATCTCTCCAGTGAGGTGTTTTGTGTTTCCTTCTAAAGAAAAGTTCAAATAGTTCTAAATTTCCACTTTGAAAATGTTCGTGCTTTGTTTGGAGAATAGTAAAGCTGCTTCTTTCAAGCTACATTCCTTCATGGGGATCTTGGAAAAAGAACTCAGTCTTCAACATTATTAAAGCCTTTAAAATATTTCTTCACCATAAGGTGCCTTAAAGTATTCCAGAGTCTAATAGGCAATTCTGTGCAGAAATACTGCACTGCAACAATTGTGGGACTGTTGTTTGGTTCAAAAGTCTGGGAACAGCCTCTACTTGAGATCGAAAGAACTGTTCCTCAAACGTTCATTTTGGTATCTCTTTGCTTTACCTGTCTGTGAAAGACCACTGGGAGAGTCAAAGCCAACATGGTTCTCAATAATAGGTTATTTCTGATTTTGCTTAGGTTAAGGGCAAAATTCTGCTCCGTGAGTTGAACCACAGTTCACTTGCCAGATAGTTTTAGTCTTCTGTGATATCACTCATGCTCCTCTTTGGAAGAGGGAGGACCTCCTTCTGACCAAGATCAGGTTGACAAAGCGATATTGACAGTTTCTTTTAACCTTCCCAGTACACATTTGGAAGTAAGGTGAAGGAAAGAACAAGGAGACAGAAGGTCTAAATCGTATAGAAATTTCAGTGAAAATGCTGCTTTTTGTGTTAATCTGACCCTTCCAGATGTCTCACCTTGAAGTCTGAGGGGGAAAGGGGAAGAAAAAGATACTGACATCACTTACATCCTGTAATGATGATGAGCTTCTGACACATCAGCAGAAGAATGTGGCTTTCTGTATGTTTCACACTGTATAACATCGCACTGCTTTTCCATCATTTTAACTCCGTTTCTGTTTTGTTTTGGTTTTTACATTTGTGTAACAATTTGATTCTGTTATTTCTGTGGAATGATTTCTTTTGTCGACATCCACGACAGCTTCTGTCGTACAATAAAATGTGTTTCTCAGAAGTGTGCCGAATTCTGTCATCATTGTGAATGTATGGGTGAAGGCAGAAATGCAGGGCTGAGCACGGCACAGGACATGCCCGAAAGCTCCAAACAACTCTTTGTACAAACAACTCCAAGGGCTGAAAATCCTCCATTATGAGGATAACAGAATGCTACATCTCAGCTCATTTTTACCATTCTTCTGCTGTCTGAGATCTCCCAGGTCACATTTTCAAGCTTTTTGCCTCAATGGCAGGAACTAAAAAGTAATTCAGATAGATTTCCAAAAATCATTATATGACTTGAAGGCAGAACCACTGCAGCTGCAAATGTACGGATCAGATATGGTCTATGCCTCGAACAGCTCACAAGCTAAATGGATTGGATAAAGCTAATGGACACAGAAAGAGTGGATTAGCAGCAAAACTCCAAAATCTGGTGTCGTCTCTCAATCCTGTACTTTTCTCTGATGAGTTTGTTACTTAATTCAACAAGACCCTGGAACTGCTCATTTCTGAAAACTGCTCGAAGTTTCTCCCCGTCTGCCGACTTTCTCAAGCAGTTAAATCTGTGATTTGGGGTATGAGTTTTTAGTACAAGTTGGATTATGCATTTATCACTCATCTCCGAGGTTAGCAACTTCTAGAACTGATAAAATGGAAATGGTCACCTGTCCTTTTATAACAGGATGCTGGAGCATGTGTTCGAAATTCATGTTTCTACCAAAAGTCTGCAATACAACTGCAATGCAGCTATCTTAACTTGATGTATAAGTGAGTTTATCTTAGCTTGTCCCAGCACAGCAGATGCTTGTGGTATGTACAGTATCCCGGAGCATGTGCTTACCAAATTCTTGTGCTGCTGTTGTTGACGTAACGTTGTCGAGATGAGGTAGAACTGTGTCATCTGCCTGAAAGACAGCTGCTAGTAAATAGCAAAATCAAAGTTTTATGAACTTGACCACAGAAGATGCACAAATATCACCAACTCAGTGGATCAAGCTGTTTCACGGATGGTGAGCAATATAATGTATAAAAACATTAGGCCACATTCTGACATCGGAAATCAGATTTCTGCTGCTTCACATCATAGAATGAATCATGTCATAGAATGGCCTGGGTTGAAAAGGATCACGATGATCATCTAATTTCAACCCCCCCCGCTGTGTGCAGGTCGCCAACCACCAGGCCAGGCTGCCCAGAGCCACATCCAGCCTGGCCTTGGATGCCTCCAGGGATGGGGCATCCACAGCCTGCTTGGGCAACCTGTTCCAGTGTGTCACCACCCTCTGCGTGAAAAACTTCCTCCTAATATCCAAACTAATTTTCCCTTGTCTTAGTTTAAGACCATTCCCCCTTGTCCCATCACTATCCATATGGTTTTGCATAAATGTTTGTCCATTCTGAGATACAGAGTTCCCTCTGGGCCTTGGTGACAGATCCAACGCTCAGAAGTACAACAGCCCTGAGCAAAAAACAGGAGGTAGCCCCAGTGGCACTCAGGAGCCACTTGGATCACACTCTGTGTCCTTCACGTGCTGCTGAGCCAACAGCTGCGTGAGAGCCGCTGTCCCGGTCTCCTGGTAGAATACCCTGGTTATTCAAGTACAGACTCAGGAATCAGGAAATGGGGACTGCAGGCTTTGCTTGGCCTGAGCCTCCTGGGTCCTTCAGGCTTCTGCATCTCCAAAGCATAATCCTCAGGGTGGTTTTGGTAGGGATATTCACCAGAATTAAATGAAGTGTGTCAGTAACACAGCAGTTCAGGGGGCAGAGAGAATGGACAAAAGCTGGGGCTGGATATAGGGGGTAATGTTTCTTCCAAAAAAAGGAAATCCCAGGTTGTATTTCCAGTTCCAGGGAGTATTTCTGCATTTTATTCCGTGGCTATTTGTGGAAATTGCATAAGCACCCGGAGGAGCTGGGGATTCTGCTCCAGAGCCCCCGTTCTATACTCGGGGTCTCACCATGCGGCAGGAACAGCTTGCTCTCACCACCCACCAGGCCGAGGCTCCAGCTCCGGTGGCTCACAGCCTCTTATTTCAGAGTTGGTGCTTGAGGAGTTCCACAAAAGGAAACACTCTTCTTCTGCCTCCCCAAGGACACTCTTGCCCTCAGCTCGGTGTCTACCAAGTGGATGTCTGCTCTGGACAGGCTGCTTGCTGTACCCACCGATTCCTGCCGCAGCTGCTCCTTACACAACATCCAACTGTGAGTCTCCCTGTAGACCAGGGTTGTCTTTATTAATCAATAAGGTTCCTAGCAAAAGAGCTCTTCTAACTGAAGTCTATGCACTGACTGTACCCAGAGAATAACCTGCCAGTTTACAAGGTCTAAATGGCAGCACTGCAGCCAAGTACATGTATATCACTTAAGCACTCTCACATACAGATTTGATGTCTGAGGTATGGCTTTGGATCATGTCAAGACAAATGAGGCTTACAAAGACAATGTGGCTTTTTGAGGGTTTCTTAGAGTTGCTATGGGAAATTAAGGGAGGGAGCAATGAAAAGTTGATCCTTTTGTTTAATTCCAGAAAGTTTTGTATCTTGTTTGGTCACAGATAGCAAATAAAGTAGGGACTTATTTGTCCCTGAAGAAAGCAAGTCTTGCTGTTGTTCTCACCAACTGACATTCTTCTCAGAGCTCTGTATTTTGCAGAAAAGCACCATAATTACCTTTTTTAGCATTAAATTGAATTGGATGGGAAACACAGCCTAAGAATTATTAGTCAAAGTTTCACTGTCAACAAGAGCTCGCTCTTGAAAATTACAAGCCCGGATTTTCTTTTTAGCATAAATGCCAGGCATGAACAGGGTGAGTGAGCGCCATACAACTTTCCTTTGGAAACATTGCCAGGATAGCAAAAAAGAGGATTTCTCCCCCACCTCCCTGCCAGACCGAGAGATTAGCTAGATTTTTGTTTGTTCTGTACTGGCAAGAAGGCCACGTTGTACCACGAGTATGGAGCACTGTGCGCTTTGGTTGATTTAACATGTATGCACTTTTGCAGAGTAGTGATTTCCTCAAGCAGAGTTATGCAAGTAATTCACCGTGAGGCATTCATGCAGTGATTAAGTAAATGCCTCTTCCCACAACCAGGTCATCTCCTGACAATCATTGCTTTTTTCTTTTTTTGCTTTTTTTTTTTTTTTTTTTCCAGTTACTCAACAAATCCTTTTGCAATTACTTTTAAGCATTCTGTGTAGAGAGTGAATTTATGCACGTGGTTAATGCTTACTGCTGTTTGAGTAATATTCATAATAGATCAGAGAAGCTGCACGGTGTTGTCTCTGCGTCAGTGGGTGTAAATGTCCATACCTGTGAATTTAAAACTCTGTTTTCGTTTGTTTTTGGGCATGCACGTGTGTGTTCCTTTCTGCGCATATTCATGTCGGTAAAGCTAGCTGTACTTGAATGGCATGTCACGTCATGCAGGCACAGCAGCACAGCAGGGAAGCGAATCTGCATTTTTTAAATAGTTTCATGGAAAAATCTCTGCTTCCATTCCTGGCAGCAAACGACAGAGACGATCACAGCCTCCAGAGAACGTGAAGGCGCTGTGACACTGGCACACAGAGCATGCCTGTCATCTGTGGAGCAGGGCTTGTTTGGGAAGCACGGGGCTTTGAAGGATCCCCTCTGCACTGCATGTACCCGCATCGGGTCCTTAGACACCTGTGTGCCTCTGATGTAAAAAAGCTGTGCACAGCCCATTCCCGTCACCGAAAATGAAAAGTTAAAGGCTTGGCGCTGCTGGTGAGCGGGTGCAGATGGCTGCCCTGCTGTAGGCCTGGCTGCCCGGCTGAGGCATGCTGCCTTCAGTGGTATCCTCACCAGTGTGTGTACCAAGGTGAGCCCGCTGCCAGCTGTAGGGCTCATCTGGAGGGAGCAGGAGCCCCTAAATGAGAGACATTGCTGAGGACAGCTCTGAGGGCATAAGGGAGCCGTGGGGCAGCAGGCCCAGGCTGAGCGCCGAGGTGACAGCTTTGTGCCATGAGGAAGGTGCAGCAGCCGCACTTCTTACCTGGACCTCTAATGGGCCGGTTAATTGGCTAATGGGGATTCCTGAGCTGCAGCGTAATGGATGCGAGTGCAGCGATTACTTAACAGAGAGACGTGTAGATCTCGGGGAGATGGCTTTGCTGGGTTGCCAGAAGTAATGGCAACAAACCAGTTGGAGCTGCTGATGCTGTTGTCACGGCTTTACCAGAAAGGCTGCTTTTCCCTCCAGCTTTTTTTTTTTTTTTTTTCCTTCTCAAGAGGCGATGAGCCTTTCCCTGGAACTGCTATTGAGGCAAACTTCTATCACGTATTAATATGCGTAATGTGCTGCTTTGTGGCTGCTTGCTGGGCAGAGCTGCCAGGCTCACACAACGCTCGGGCTCTGTTACTGTAACTGTGGCTACTGTTGTTGGTAGCTGTTCTGGGCTTTCATTTGCCCATCCTGAGGGGACTGTAATAAAGACTGACCCCTGCTGTTAAATTGTTTGCATAATTCCTTCCTTTATTTTCCTTTTTTTTCTTTTTTCTTTTACTTTCTTTCTTTTTCTTTTTTTTTCTTGACTGAGAAAGTTGATCTTACACTGGGAGAAATACCAGCCCTGTGAAAGTTTTAACACCTAATCGTATCATAGCTGAAGGAGGCATGCAGCTTCCTTAAAGCTGAGTGTGTTCCTCGTCTCTAATCCATCGCCTTGAAGTTTAGGGAAGAGATGGGTTTCCCACTTTGATTTATCTGGACTGTGCTTAATCCTGAATTTTGGAGAGGAGTTGATTTATTGTCCAGCATCAGGGAGGGGACATTAATTCCCCGCCTGCCACCCAGCATGGCTACTTGGAAAGAAGAAAGACTCCTCTGCTGTAGGTAGGATCAAAACCCATGCGAATAAGCTGAATTGAAGTGCATGTGTCCAGGCAGCTCTTCTGGAAAACTCAACTCTTCTTCCACTTAACCCTGCTGTTGCCTGCAAACTCTAGAAATACCTTACTTTTTACCCTGGAGCTTACACGGGTGTGGAG